GCTGGTGCAGCCCAGCCTGGCTCCACAGACCCCTGCCAGCCTGTGCCCCACTTTGGGCCCCACTAGTGCTGGCCCTGGGACATTGGTCCCAAGACATTGGGACACTGGTCCCAAGATCACCATCACCTGGGGGCAGGGCTACCCATGAGACCCTCGACACCCTGCCAAAACTGGGTAAGTGGCACTCTGCCCAAAATAATTGCCCTCCCCTGGTGTAGGGCATGGGGGGCCCCAAGCAACCCTTTGCAGGTTTCCCACATTTTTCTCCTTTGAAGGAGAATCCATTTTTTAAAGTTTGTTGATTAATTTTTAAAGTCTGTCCATGACCCTTTCATATATTCCTGCGACCCATTTTTTGGGTTGCGACCCACAGGTTGAGAAACACTGTCCTAAAATATAATCCCTTCTATGCTTTTCCTGGGGTTGAGGCTTCCGACTGCCTCTTATGCAGGGCTGTGCATAAAACACAAGCTGGTGCTGTGTAAGGTTAGCATTTTACGATTTTTTTCCAGAGACTGTTTTACAGCATTTGTTCTCCAGAATGTCAGAATAATAAACTGTGCCAACTGCTCTTCTGATAATTTCATATCACACTATTTGAACATAGCAAATACAGTCTTCTAATAACTTTTTAGAGCTTTTTGTGCCACAGCCCAGTTTACAGATTTGTTAATTAAGGTAGTATTATTTTGGGTGATGTATTTGCTGTCTATAACTCCATGAGGCTTAACACTAAGCAGAATGTGCATAACTTTACAATTATTATTGAAGAGAAAGAAAAGGAAAGAAAGCCTGGTGAAAATATGCCCAGTCATCCAGGACTTAAATTTTAAGGACAGTTCTGAATGGACATAGGACCAAATCTTTCCAAGGAAATGAATCACAAGCAGAAAAGTGACAATGTACAATAGACAAATATGTATGCTGTAAGTCATGCTCAATCCTGCAGAATGCTGATCACTTGTGTAAGGTGCCAAGCATTCTCTGCTTTCACTGATATGAACGTGAGTCCAAAATATGCAACACTTAATGGGAACAGTCAGTATCTGGTGAAATGAAGCCCAATAAAACTGCAGCACCATACACAGTTAAATATGGAGCAAGTGAAAACTAGATGCCTGGCTCTCTCCTTCATACACACACAGATTTCTACAATTTATGCCTGTGTGAGAACATAATATTCCATGCAATTTCCACTCTGATCTCTCAAGATAAATCTTTTATTCTGTACGAAAGGAGGGCAAGTTCACAGAAGAAATTGTTAAGTCTCATTTTTAGCTTACCTCCTGCTGTGCTAAGAGTGAAGAGAATACAATTCATTTTATTTGATGTTTTATACCTTGTACAACTTAAACTTTATAATATATTGGTTTAATGCCTAATGGAAACTTTCACAATTTCCTTCTCAGTTTATAGTAATTACACACTAATTATCATGAAAAAATCATCAAGAACCAGGGTCTTTTGTAGGAATTGTACATAGAGAAAAGTTAAGCTCTGTAGCTTAACTAGTCCATGTTATGCCCCAATTCACTTGAACACATGCTTATCTTGAAGCAGGAGTAGCTTTCCTAAAATCAATTAAGTTAAGCATGTGCTTGCCTGCTTTGTCAAATTAGAACTAGGGCTGTCAAGCTATTTAAAAATGTGATCGTCATTAGTTGTGCGATTAAAAAAATTAGTCACAGTTAATCACGATTTTAATCTTGCATCTAAAAACTCAAAATTATGCAGGTACTTTGTATGGTTGGGGGGGGATATGGGTGACCATGGGAGAAGCTGCAGCTCATCCAGGGG